GTGTGTGTGTGTGTGGCTTTGTGTATGCAGTCAGGCATAGGGGAGAGTGCACGTGGGTTTGTGTACGGGGTGGGGGTGGGCAAGGACATCCCGCAAGCCCTCTTCTTGCATGGCCCCTGACACCATGGAAGTAATATGGATTCTCCTGGAAGCACGCATGTACATACCCGGATACTTGTCTGAGACGATTGCTCGAGGAACTTTTAACATGTGCTTTATGTTACCATAATGGTCTCCTAATTCAGTGTAATGTTACCGAAAATAGCATCGGTGGGCCTGGTTGCAGTGATGCTCTGGGACAGTTGGTCACCTTATCTGGGTGCTTGCCTAGACAGATTTTACAGTATTTAGTGGCATGATGGGAACTAGTTCAGACCTTCAGCTTTGCACTTTGGGTCAGATTTCACCTCGAGCAGACTTAGATGGTACTGATGGACTGGTAATTGATTTCTTTGCTTTCTTTGCTCTCCTTGCTTTCTTTGCTTTCTTTGCTCTCCTTGCTTTCTTTGCATTGCAGTTGGCAGCTCGTTCATCAAAGTCTACCTAGCTCCTATGTTCATTTCTTTTGTCATTGTCCTCACCTACTGGCTTCCTCCTGCAAAGGATGAGACAAGTAAGCAGTACACACTGTGACCATTGCTCACACATTGGGACTATGCTGCCCAGTGCTTAGTTGACACGCTGACGCCCAGACCTCTGGTCAGTTCAGTTGCTCGCAGCACATCAGCACGTTGTCCCTACACCCGCTATATTTTGACCTTTTTCTTTTTGGTCCCCAAGTGCTTTCTAGTGGGGCTGTGTTAAGAGTGAAAAAATAGTTGTGAAAAGTACCTGTTCTTGACAGACATGCTAGGCCTACTTTCCAAGACGTTCTTCTTCCTATAAACTGTGTTGGGAAGTTTTCTTCTTCTTTCGTTCTTCTTGGTCTGTCTCTATCTGTTGCTACCTATCAGTCTTTCATTCGATCTATGGTGAGCTCCATCTCTTCATCGAGCTGGTCTCTGTCAATTATTCATCTCTCTATCTGTCTCTTCGTCCAGCTGTCCACCCATCTGTATGTCTATCTGTCTGTTTTACATGTCTGTCCATGCATCAAATAGTATTATCCATCATTCCTTGATATGCCGGTCCATCCGTATGTATGTCCATCCATCCGACCATCTGCCTGTCCGTCCGTTCTCTCATCTATCCACCCACCCAACCATTCATCCGTCTATCCGTTTTCCGTATGCTTGGTCATCCATTCATCGGTATTCTAATGTTATGATGATGTCACATGGGATCACCTTTATACTGCTTGCGGATGCATCCAAGTCTACAAATTGCAGGGCTGACTGCTGCACTAGGAGTTCTTGTTTGGCTCTCGATTGTTCATACTTTAAAACACTACTTTCAGTTATAACTGTTTGCTTGTCTGATCTACTAGTAAATATTACAATCGTTCTCTTGCATTTGTTTTGTGCATCTTTGTTGCTGTCAGGATTCTCGATGTGCGCCGCATCTCTCATGTCGTCCATATTTTTCCACATCAGTTTGCACAGCCAGTTGCCGCCGACTTCAACGCTAACAGAAGCAGACAACCTTATGATCCATTTGTACATAGTAAGTCGAAGTGTCTGTTCAGGTAGTTTGCAAAGCGATAACGTGTTAGGAGGCACGTGGATGTTATAGCCGAGGCGACCTGAGACGTTTGCAGCCCAGCCCAGTTTGAAAAAAAAACTATTGTTCTTTTGGCGAAACTCGGATGGTGAGCCAATGTATTCATGGATAAAAAGGAGAAGGACAAAAATGGTACGAGTTATGACTAACTGCCCACCAACATTACCTGATCATATACACTCAGCGATGCAGTGATATTCGGCATTCTTTGTCTCCATTGGAAGTGTTAGACCTGGGTGCCAGGTCGTTGAACGTCCCAGTACTTTTCGGAAATTGTGTGCCTTCTTCTCGCACTCACTGACTGTATACGATTAGGTTACGTTCTGGGAGACCTAGTCCTAACTCGCACCAATTTGTCCTTCTCTCCTACTTTTTGTGGATTGCGATATTTTAAAATTCAGGCTGACAAGCATCTTTCAAGCCTTGGTGATGTGTGGTACAAGCACACTGGTGCAAAATTTATTGTTTACAATGATTGCCAAGGTTCCGACGGTGTTGATAGACGCTATGTTCTCTTGGTCTTTCTTTTCACAGGTGAATCTGTCGGCGTGGATTGTGACCTATTTTCTCATGCTGTGCCGTGACTCTGCAACGATCAGCGACAAGTTTGTGTATCGAATGTACTTGTTCACTCGCATTCTTGGGCCCAGCATAACGGTTCCGTCCTTCATCATCGACTTCTATGCCACAGACAGCTCAAACTCGTACGTTATTATTATGTCTCCTTTATTCACTTCTTTCGAAGGCGATAAGCCAGACCCACCGGGAAATATTTCCATGGGTGGGACAGCAAAAAGAAAGTGAAAAAAATAAACAAATAAATAAAACCTAAAAACCAAAGGGACAAGAAATAGTTGAAGGAAGAGGAAGAAAAGAAAGAAACTCTATCCGAACTCCAACATCAAAACAATAATAAAGAATTTGCAGCGACAGGCAAAATACATCAACCAATGAAGGGAGTAACAAAGGAAATATCAGTCTTTATCAGTCGTTATTCAAGTCTCTTAGCTATTGAACATGCAAACGCAGCAGAGGTGCATCTACATGTTAAGGATAGTTCTTAGTATTTTAATCGAACCTTGTATAGCCTCCTGTTGTACAATAGCCAGGTCTCCTCCCTGCACAGTCCGAAGGCATTGAGGAGTCTCCCCCACCAAGCCTCCCAGGGCACCGACAACCACAGGGACCACGTCAACCTGGGTGAGGGACCAAATCCTGGAAATCTCCCGCTTCAAATCATAATATTTCGAGCGCTTTTCAGCCATTTTCTTATTGATGTTGTTCTCACCAGGAACGCTGATGTCTATAATGTAGGCGATGCGCTCCTTGTCATCATTATTATTATTATTATTATTATTATTATTATTATTATTATTATTATTATTATTATTATTATTATTATTATTATTATTATTATTATTATTATTTGAGGGATTCCCCAAAGGCCGAAGCCTAAATCAAGGGGGTCTCCGAGAATAAATATACGTGTACAATACGTAAACAATAGTGTGCAATTTTTAAAAGGAAGAAAATATTAAGCTGAAAAAGATTAATGTGAAGAGGTAAATTAAGAAGTCTGAGTAGAATCAAGCTAAAAGGGTTGAAATCAAAACTCCATTCTTGTTGGCAAGGACACTTGAATGATGTTGTACCGTAGTCTGCAAACAGTAGTTTCAGCGCCATCATCTAGGCCAAGAAACCCAGAGTACTCAATGAGGCTAGTTATAAATTAGTCTGAAAAGAAGCTGACCAACCAAATTCATGCAAAACAGGCTATTCCTCAATGATGTGAATGAACAATTGCAGTGCAATGCAGCTGTGGTGTGATGGTTAATGAAAAGAACCCTATTTCGCCAGCGGAAAGGTTGTTCTTGACCAGGGAGTTGTACGACTCCTTGTTCTTGACCTGCCCGGTACGCGAAACCGTCGAATTATTATTAATTTTTGTATTATTATTACTCAATCTGCTATTGTATTATTATAAGTAATCCCAGTACAGTGCCCTGCAACATTTTGTTCTGCAACATCTCCGTTTTGTCAAGTGTAATTATTGTTGCATTTCGTGTTCCTGCAGTTGGGCATGGAGCATTGTCGTTGTGATGGGGCTTCTCATTTCATTCGCCGGTCTTCATGCGCAAGAGTATATTGGGAGGAGGTAAGAGAAAATGCAGGTTTTGAGTTGCCGCCAGAAGGCCGTGATCACAAAGTCATGTAGTGCATGATTCTACTCCGAGCGTCCTCTCCCTGTCTCTGTCTGTCTGTCTGTCTGTCTCTCTCTCCCCTCTCTCTCTGTCTCTCTGTCTCTCTGTCTCTCTCTCTCTCTCTCTCTCTCTCTCTGTCTCTCTCTCTATCTATCTCTATCTATCTATCTATCTATCTATCTATCACTCTCTCTCTCTCTCTCTCTCTCTCTCTCTCTCTCTCTCTCTCTCTCTCTCTCTCTCTCTCTCTCTCTCTCTCTCTCTCTCTCTCTGTCTCTCTCTGTCGGTGTCTGTCTGTCTCTGCCGCTCTGTCTGTGTGTGTGCATGTATGCGTATGTGTATGTGTGTGCATGCCTGTGCATGTATATGTGTGTGTGTGTGTGTGTGTGTGTGTGTGAGTGTGTGTGTTGTTGTGTGACGTGGCGTGCTGTTGTGCTGTATGATGTTGCATGACGTGTGTATGCATTCGTGCGAACCTGTGTAAGCACCAGAACTGGGCTGCGTGCCTCATGCAGCCCGCCCCAGGGTGATTTCCTTTAAAATTTTCTGGTAACACCAGTATTGGTGCCATGAATGATTTACTCCACATAATTGGACCAAGGAGCTACAAGTGACCCTACAATGTCCACTACCACCACCAGTTGCTAAACAACCAGCTAATGTGATGTGCTAGAGCTGTTTGCCAGTTAGTTGCAGAACGTCAGTACTGTACGTCAGCATCGTGCAATGTTATCACTTGAGCTGATTGTTTAGTAACTGGTGGTGTTAGTGGATATTATAGCATAACTTGCAGTTCCTTGGTGCTTTTCGTTTCTAAAAATGTCAGTCATTATTCAACTCGAAATAATAATTATGATTCCCTGCTCGACTGAGCCATGAAATGCCTCATGGTTTGCCTTTACTTTCCGTGGTATTGGTTGTTGTGTATTTTGTGCTCGGTATATGACAAGGCCACAGTGGAGTTTCAAAGTTCTTAAAAAAGATTTCTTTTTCCTTGACAGAATGCTAATTGCAAAGGAGAAGCGCCAGGCAAAGAGGATGAGAAAGATGAACAGCTCATCAAGCCTGATTACCAACAATAATCTGGCTGGGGCAAACTCGCATAATGGTGTTCGTGGCAGGGACTACTTTGAAAGTCCGGAGTTCCACGATGGAAATAGCCCAGCAACACTCAACTACGGGGGCAGGGAAGTGCGCGATACCAAGAGACGCCGCGCACCAGCCATGAGTGGCTCTCTGGTGAGTGTGTGTGTGTGTGTCTGTGCTGTTTCTTTAAGAGTGAGATGTCGCTGAAGAGTTATTGTGCAAACAAGAAAAGACCCAAATTGGAGAAATTGAGATGTTTTAGATCAGTGTCATCAAAAGGTCTTGTACGCTCAGGAAAATTGTGGAATACGAAATGCGGCTGCAACTACAAGTACGGTTTCAGGTACAAACCGCACCCTAGATTTGATCCTTTTCGGCTGTTATCTGCAGAGTGGTGATATGGGTATGAACTCTTGATTCCCTTTTCGAACGTGCACTCCGGATGTGATCTGTAATCAAAAATAGTTGTGCTCCTGTATTCCCTCCCTAATTTGGTGCGCCTGCCATGTGAAGATGCCTAGACCTCTGGTCGGTTGAGCATGGCAGGCCCTACCAGCACCATCTCACCCCATGCTAGCCCCATTTGCCTGCCGATGATTTGTGTATTTTGTAAAAGAATAAAAAAATAAAATAAAAAAAATGATCAAAGTCGATCCATAAATAAATTAATGCGATTAATAGTATAAGTGAAGCGGACATTACAAAATGATGAATGAGAATACATGTATCTAAAATGGTTGTTCCTAATCGATTTTCTTGAGACTATCATCAGGGAAAATCGTCTCACAATAGAGGCTATACGGAGAAACAAACTACTTATAGGTTATCGGATAGTGGGAAGTATACAAGGTGAGGTGTGAAAAAAAAATAAAGTGGGAGAGAAGACGAAAGAAATTAGAAGAAAAGATGTGAGAGTTTTCCGACGGTGTGAGCTACTACAAAAGGTGAGTGAAATGAAGGCGTGGAAGCAGGTGAATGTGATAGAGTGAGGAACTGTGAGGTGTAGGTGTATGCGAATGAATACGTGTGTGAATGCTAGGTGAAGAGTCTCAGTTTTGTGACATTTTCTTTCTGAATGCATAGATTAGGATTGTGTTTACGGATGAAAACAGCTTCTAATACCTTAAGTTCACGAAACCTACGAGCAAGACACAAAACAGTGAAGCATGAATCATCATACACTGAGCGGCATTGGCTACTAGACAAGAGGTGTTTCTTAATGGCTGACCCTTTCGTTGTGGTCTCACCTTCAGTCCGGTCATCTTCATCTTGGTTGTCCAACTCACTCTCTTCATCACTGCTCTCACCTTCCTCATCCTCCTCCGCTTCCATCCCGTCCGCTGCACCCAACGACAATCCCACGCTACTGCTCGCTGCCAGTCCATGTCCGGTTGTAGATGCTATTACCAGCGCACGAGTCATGCTCCTAGTTACTGGTCTCCGTACCTGTGTTTGGCCATTTCCTTCAGTCTCACGTACCTGTGTACTTGTAGTCCGTTCAACCGGTACTGTGTGGTTCTGTTGTAATTGTGCAACTGGCACCTGTTTGCGGGGACGGCCTCGTCCAGGTGATAGTCTCAAGAAAATCGATTAGGAACAACCATTTTAGATACATGTATTCTCATTCATCATTTTGTAATGTCCGCTTCACTTATACTATTAATCGCATTAATAAAGTTGTTGTCTCCTCGTCGCCTTTCCATAAATAAATATAGAAAGTAAAAGGACATAATGACTGTATATAGTATCCAGTTACAGTGATGAAGAGTTACTCTTAACTCGTATCAAAGTCGATGCTAATCATATCTGGAATAATATTAAAATACCAGGTATTAGCTAGTACCTAGCTCTAGGTCGTGCCAGCGACGAGTAGCTGAAGGGTTCAGTTCAAACGGGCTAGTACTAGCGCCTGATAGGAATCAATGATACCCCCTCCCCCCACACACACACACATCAAGAATAGAAGAGTGCATGCACCAGTGGGTCTCTATAGCCTTCGTTCTTGTCTACTCTGTCGTCTGAATACTTCTTCCATAGTCAACGTTATAAAACCCCTGTGTTCTGGAAGTGTGAGGGGATTGCGTTTAGCCGGGAGCTAGCAATATGCGCAGTCATTCCCTACATTCATGTATTTGCACACATCAGGCCAGCCGGAAACAGTTTTTGATAGGTCCAGTATTTTCAGGGTCTTTCTTGCTCTGTGTATGAATTGTCGGGCACACACAATAGGAGACACAGTCATGTCGGTGGCAAAACATTTGGTCCGGTGATAACCTGATCAACCGGACCGTTTCCCGTGGGTCCTCATCATCAATGGAACAATTTTTTGACCTGGGCGTTTTCTCTCCGTTTTGTGTGCAGGATGACTATGAGGATGAGAACCTCATCGCGTAAAGCCATCTGTGCAGCCCCAGTCTATTCAGTTGATATACATGTACAACGTATCTCCAAGCAAGAAGACACACATAATACATAGTCTTTATTCAACTATTTTATCTCTTATCAGCACTCTATGACAACAGCCAATTGCCTTCGTTCAGAAAATGTGCAACATCTCCGGTCACTGGGTGAAGTGCCTCCACATTGCGTAAATACCAACGCAATTTGTTTGGCCATCTAGGATATTACCGGTTGAATTTCAGCATAGTACGAAACAATGACGTCAACATAATCCGGCATGTATGCCATTTTCACACAGTTAAAACTGCTGGATTTTCGTGGACAGCAGTACCAGTAGAAACACTACTACCCCAGTTCTGAGAGCAGATGAACGAGAGTGTGCAGCTCTGCATATCCTCTGCACAATCTGCAAATACCCGGCAGGCGGCTAAATTTTTTGTTGACATCACCTTTTTCTTTAGAAAACAGCGCATTTCGCCGCAGAGCAGTGTGTGATGACGTGCTTGGCACCGAACTTGTAATGTAAATCCCGGCCAAGTGCACAAGGCAAAACTTTCCAAGAGAATCGCAGCGCATTCGTCATGGAAAAATATTATTTCGCTAACAAATATTTCCGCCTTTTGCCAGCCAATCCGGGAGTTGCACCTCTTGTGTGTCTACCCGGAGGCGTCGGACATGGTACGGTCACTACAATATTGACCGTACCACCTTTTGCCCCAGGTACCCAGTAAATCAATAAAATACACTGCTCGGGACTCTAAATTTCCAAACAGACACGTTCAATGTCATGTAGAGAGATGCATTCAATATCATGCAGAGTGCCAAGCCGCACAGAGACCATAGCCAGCAGCAAAGCATGAGCATGCAGTAACAGCACTATCAAACATAGCAGCATAGATTGAGCGGTAGCACAAAGCTGCGAGCACCCATTAATCTGCATTATCACCATAATGCTACACACACACACACACCTTGGTCCATGGTAACACGCCCATCAAATGGTCACGTTTCCCCTGTGCATGGGTCGACAGCACTGAGTTCAGTATTGGATCCAGAAACGCCGCTCTACTTCCTGGACAGGAAATTAGCACAGCTATGCAGGTCGAAACCACGGGATGCCTTGCAGGAGCGACCGCAGCCGAGACAATGCGCTCTGCAGCAGGGCAGGGCAACCCGCTGTTTCCGGACCGAGTCTGCCGATGCCACAGCCGAGACCGACGCCACTTCAGCAGCCGAGTTGGAAAGACACGTATGCGAAGCTACCACTCAAAAACCATCTCCCGCACGCATTATATAGTCGGCTGCCGGACTGCTCAGATATTGGTTTCCTCCTCTCCGCCAGGTACTTGTGGCGATTCTTGTATTTCTGGTGGGCGAAAGTACGCTGGCCGACATCGCAGAGCACAGAAGTGTCACGCTGAGCCGATCGCGGTACTGGTTGAGCGGAATACGCACTGCGCCATTTCCCACGCTCCTGGGCGAGGTCGTATCATTCCGCGTGGTCGATGTGGCAACCACCGACCAATCAAGTCAACTAGCTGTGCTTGTATCAGAAGTTCCTGAACAGCCTTGGATGTATTCACCTGCACCTGGAGCGTGTTTTAGACCAGCTGCGACACCTATCCCTAATAGACCATATAACAAACAGTGCCATATCGATGGAGATGGATTGCAGAGCTGTCCGGCGATGTCCCATTGCTCCCTACTTACGCAAAGTGTAGTAGTGTACGCTCATCCAAGCTCGATAGCAGCATGTCAGAGTGGAGGACCGACCCAAGCCTGCCAGCAACACCCTTCAGTTCTCTCTGTATCATCCCAGTTCATGTCCCCGCCGCCGCACGGTCCAAATACTCAAGGTTCATGTGCATGTACCGGTATGACGGCCCTGCAGTGCCGTTACACGCCTGATGTCGTGGCTGGTGCTGGTCTCATGTCCCTCTGTGATGCGAGGACTGTTGCCCCTGGATTTACTACCAGACTGGCATCAGGAGCCAGTGCTGCCAACGAACAAATTCAGGCAGAATTGTGTAGTGAGGACCAAGTCGTAGACGTCGCGCATAGGCTCGACGTGCTAGACTTGAAAGCCAGCGCCTCCGGCCACAAACAAAGTTGATACCACCCTTTCAAGTAGTTCATTGCTGATGGGTTCCACTGTTTGTCTCAGTATAGGTAGCATTGTCGTTCGCTAGTATAATTTCGATTTCGGTATGTGAACAAGGTAAAAAATTAATAAACTACCACCCTACTTCACCTGTGTATCACTAAAACAAGCGAGAAAAACTCTGTGGTGAGCAAACCCTTTCTTACAAATCATCGCCGAAGTCGCAACCACTACTTCGAGAAAAACTCAGCTCGCACAACGATATAAATGATGTCAGACCCTTCATACAGCCGTTTTAGGCCAACAGACTTGAAAGGTGCAGGCAGCAGAAACTGACTTTGACCTAAGTAACGATGGGACAAAGGCAAGCTAGCAAACTAAGCATGTTCTACGTGTAGACGTACCACATGCCCTCTGATTAGGCACAGGCGGATTATGCCGGCAGAAAAATTGGCAGAATTCGGTACTTTTTCTGGTAACTTTCATGCATGTTTAGTATGTGGATAAAGAAATGGAGCAGAATTCGAGGAATTGCCGGCCATAAGGTTTGCATGGTTCTGCAAATTTCACTGCTTTTCGAGCAGAATCGGCCACCTTTTCGAGTAGAATCCGCCAGTGCCTGACTCTGATACATGTACAGAACTGTTCAACTTGATACTGATAGAGCCTCTTGTGCGGGTAAATAATTCTTGTGCACATCATCACAGTGATAAACCATGTAGTTTCAATCAGAACGACGCTTCACGCAGCTTCATTATTCATATTCATCGTTTGCGAGCAACTGACTTAAGCATTCTCCTTGTGAACATTGTCAGGAATCTCCTGACGCTGGTCGCTAAGGTATACGGACCCGCTGAACTCATACGAACAGGAATTTGAGCACGTGATGTAGATACAGAAACACAAATACCGAGCCCAAATAGACAACAACAAACAAAAAACAAATGCCACGGTCAAGTGAAGACAAAAATGTAGGGAATATGATATCGAGTTGACTAGTCACAAGACCCTCACGTGTAAATGCTACACCTACTCATTAAATGTTTTACATGTTATACTACATACCAATCGAGATATCAAGTGATCAATTCGGCTGTAGGTACATTATCCATATAAAAATCGCTCTGTGAGCGGTTCTGAAAAACCTTTCCTGGTGCTGCCCCGTCGTAACGGTAAGAAATTAGAACTGGAGCATTTTCCCCCCAAATGCGAACAGATCCACCTAAATCGCGAATGACGGGACCCGAATGCACCAGTAGCACGAGGTCGGGAGGGCACAGGATCACAGCAATTATCATAGGGTGACACCACCACTACTATAGTGCAGTCAGTACATTGCACATTGTATCAGTGGCAGTGTATTGCTAGTACACGTACAATTATCGACGACCATGGCCAACGTCCCCATCTGCATCCACAGCTAGGAACCTCTTGCTACTGGTGCGTTCGGGTCCCGTCATTCGCGATTTAGATGGATCTGTTCGCATTTGGGGGGGGGGGGGGATGCTCCAGTTCTAATTTCTTACTTTTACGACGGGGCAGCACCAGTAAACTAAAGGTTTTTCAGAACCGCTCACAGAGCGATTTTTATATGGATAATTTCAGTTCTTTTTCCGTTCCCTCCCCACCCCAACCCCGAAGGTGAACATGATGAGCACACGCGCGATGTACTTTATGTAGCCATGAGACTGCAATAACACACTGATACATACCAGCCCTCCCCACCTCGCTACCCCGCACACAGATACACAAACACGCGGGTGCACACGGCACACGCATGTGGCCACGCACACATACGCACATGCACACGACACAAACAGGAAGTTCTTCATGCATAATGCCATGCAAAGCAGTGGCCACCGTGCTTCAGGAAGTCAGATGTGAAACAAAATAATTCAACTACAGTCAACTTCGACAATAACGACTGCGGATGTAACGACAATTCGCGAATAACGACAGAATTTCCATGCCCAGAGCAAAGTCCCATCCAACTGTAATACAATCATATAATGGGACTTCGGGTATAACGACACTTCGCGAATAAGGACACTTTTCTGATGCCCCGCCGAGTGTCGTTATACGTGAAGTTGACTGTACAATGTGTAGACAAGCTGACGACCAAAGCACAACATAGCAACATGACATTTGCTCAAGGATTGCAGTTTGCAGACCACGCCATGGAAGCAGCGAATACAGAATGTAATATCATACAAAGTGACAAGCAAGGAAGTGGCCACCATACACCAGAAACTTGCAGAAAGTCACATATCCAACAGATAGAGAAGTGAACAGCAATCTGGTACAGCCCACACAAGACAAAGCTGACCTGATACTCGTCCCAGGATCGTAAGTGGTAGATCATTTTCAATGCATAACATGCAGGTGTAAGTTACACGCATGGACAAAATCTGACCGTGTCGCCAGCACACGATGTCATCACAAGTATACCCCACAACTTACACACATGCACAGTAGAAGCACAATGAAAGCAATGGAAAAGTACGATGTGGTTGCTGAAGCATCTTCACACTTCAAATTCAGACTTCAATGTGGTCGTCACAGGATGATATACCTGCAAGATACAAGTGATGCAGAAAGAAAGCAGAAGGTCATGAGGTAGGCTATGAGACACCACAAACGGGACACCTACATGTATGTTCAGGGCTAGTGCACTCACATGCAGAATTATCATATTCGAGCATTTCCCAAACTGAGAAGTGCAATGAAATCCACTTGCATGCAGAGGAGCAATTTTGCAGTGTGATGCGTAATTCGACACGATCTGCGATGCTGCGTGCGATGCAAACTCGCGCAAAATATCATTCACAGAATGACTGCAAGAGGTCAGTGATGCAACAACGCCCTGCTGACATGTGTCTCAAAGCTCAACAAGAACCTGCGTTTGTCACCATGGCACTCGCATAGCTGGTACAACTGGTACAAATGTGCAAGCAATTCATGAGTCTTTCGTCTTGCCTCCTCAGATAACCACTGCAAGGCTGCGACGACAACCTTCGGCCTGACAAGGTGCTTCCAGACAATCTTCGCACTGG